TGGTGAGTTGTCATTCTTTTTTCAGCTTCTTACAGATCATGAGTAATACTCATCTTTACTGTTTTTCATTATTATTTTCCTTTGTGTCGGTGAAGGATAATTATGCATGCACAAACCTGAAATAAGTTAAATAAGACGTCAAATAAAACCAATTAAATTGAATCATGATTGTATATACCTGATGATTTAATTATGATATCATTTTAGTTTACTAGAAAGCATATTGTGCAGTTTTTATTGTTACTCAGGCATACTTTTGAGCATTTTTATTATTGGTTTGGCATTATTTAATCTTTGCCACAATGAATCAACATTAATTGTTGATTAATTATCACTTATTGATATTCACATGATGATATTCATGTCACACTGGTTAAGTTGGACTGGTAGTCATGGCCAAGTTCCCTTCCAGGCTGCCTATTCTATAGTTGGCAACATACAGTAAAAGCAGTTCTGAAAGTTCCAATGTTTGCCTGACTACAACAGCCAGCAAAAAGTTGGGGAAAAATTAATAAAATTAATAAGATGTTAAATATGGCAACTGTCAAAACCATTAGGATGTCACCTGACAAAAGAAATGTCAAATATATTGTTGAAAAAGCTAAGGGTGTNTAAAATTAATAAGATGTTAAATATGGCAACTGTCAAAACCATTAGGATGTCACCTGACAAAAGAAATGTCAAATATATTGTTGAAAAAGCTAAGGGTGTGTTCCTTTGGGGTGATCTGGACCAGGATTAGGGATCCAAGATCACTCAGATCATTGTGCATCAAACAAAAGGAGCTGATGAATCCATGACCAGAGTGGATTCATCAGTTCCTTTGATGTACCATGATCTGAGTGATCTTGGATCACTGATCCTGATCCAGATCACCCCAAAGGAATGCATCCTAAGAGTGAACCACAGGATACCTTTAATTGCCTTATCAATGAGATGGTAAACAGTGTGCATGTTGAAAAAAAATCATAATTTTCTGCCAGTCATTAAAGACAGTAACGTGGTGACATTTATGACACTTTTCAACACTTCCTTCCATGAAAAAGTACAATTAGGGACTATGTATCACTCAAAGACCCCTCAAGACATCAAGGATAATACAAAGTTTTTTTTCAGGACTGATTTACTGTCTCACAATGGAAATACTTGCCTGGTAATAACAGCTAGTGCCCTGGGAACGGGAGTTAACATACCCAACATCTAAAAGGGTTGTTATATTTGGAGTGCCAGAGAACATGGAATCCTACCTTCAAGCACTTGGAAGGGGTGAAAGGAATGATTCTGATGTTTTGTCCATATTGTTTTACC